AATTTATTTATTTCATATATACAATATGGATGCCAAATCGAAGATCATCAAAAGATGATTAATTTGATATATTATATATGTAAAACCGATAAGAAACACAAAAGTTATCAATTTTTAAAATACATTTACAATTAAATAACTAATTGAAGGAAACAAATCAAAAGTCAGGGATATATTAGTCACTTAATATCTCACTATATAAAATTACAAAGAATTAAAGGGTTATATTAGTACAAGTGATATTAAACCACCTAAGTTAGCTATTTAATATTTATGGAATGTCCGAAACTAGATCATAATTCTTTGTCAAGTAGGATTCCGAAGCATCAGAAGCAGCCATGTAGGCTCAGCGCATTCGGAAATAATATATAAAGAGGATTACACAAAATGTGATGATTTGCAATTAACCCTAAATATTAATAAATGTATTAGTATTTTTACAATCCCGTCTAGGCCCCAAGTAATAACTTATAACCCTAAGCACTAGACCCTGGCTTCAATTATACAATCTCAACAGACTCAACTAGAATTTTGCAGTCAGTTTCTCTTAATTTGCAGTAAAAGCTATGTGCTTATTGGGCCATTGGCCATTACTGTTCTTTTTCTTCTTTCTTTATTTTTTTTTTGAGCATTCAATACGTCGTACGCGGGGTCATTTTCCTTGATTTTCCAGGAAAACGTGACGCATGTGGCTGTCAGCTGTGTGCTGGGGTAGTAGGCGAGTGGTGGATGCAGAAGAAAACTAAAAAAATCAGCTGACTTTTCTTCATTTTTGATTAATCATATATTGTCATTCTATTGCGTCCGAGAATAATTTAGGAAATTCTGATGATGAGCTCTTGTCTGCTTCTGTTCATGTTCGCTTCACTGATTGGACCATTACTTATAATTGCCAGCTAATGTGTGTGTGTATGTGTGTGTGTGTGTGTGTGTGTGTTTTCTTGATATACCTTCATGAGCTCTATTCTTTGATTCCGATCAATTTAGAGAAAAAACCCAGAAAACCCTTTTGCTAGTTGTGATTCTGGGTTTTTTTCATTTGCTAATTTTGATTCATGGGTTACATTATATTGCTTTGCTTCCTGTGGTTGAATTGTTTTGTGGGCATTTGTTACTCTTCTCTGTATAACGCAGATCAAGAAAAAGATAGGATTTTTTATTTGCCTGGGCAGCCTGAAAATGTTGGATTTAATCAGTACTCAGGTTATATAACTGTGAATCACAAGGCTGGGAGGGCATTGTTTTACTGGTTAACCGAGGCACCGAAAGAAAGAGGGCCCGAAAACAGACCACTTGTTTTGTGGCTCAATGGAGGCCCTGGTTGCTCCTCTGTAGCTTATGGAGCTTCTGAAGAAATCGGGCCTTTTCGAATTAATTCAGACGGGAAAACCCTTTACCTCAATCCTTATTCCTGGAATAAATGTATGTGACTGTTGTGTTATTGAGCTTATTAGTGTACATTGTGTTGATTTTGATTTGTTTTAAATTTTTAATTTGTGTACATTTAGCTTAATTCAAGATTCTTGGATTTTTCTTTTTTATTGCAGTGGCAAATTTGCTTTTTCTTGAGTCACCAGCTGGAGTTGGTTTCTCGTATTCGAATACTTCATCGGATTTGTACACTGTAGGTGACAAACAAACAGGTAATGCCTCAGAAAAAAAGAAAAAAAAAAGGATCTTGATTCTGAAAAAAATAGCTCTTCTTAGTGGAAATTGTCATTTGTGCTTTGCCATTGTTCTTGCTTTGACTAGTTTTTATTAAAAAGCTTCGGTTTGTGGTTACTTTTCGATTTTTTAGCCGAGGATGCATATGCATTTCTGGTGAGCTGGTTCGAGAGATTTCCTCAATATAAGCATAGAGATTTTTACATCACTGGAGAAAGTTATGCAGGTCTTTAATTATAAATAATTAAATATCTCCTCTTACTATTCGTATGAGAGTACATAGTAATTTCGGTTTTTTTATGCTCGTTTTTTAGGTCACTATGTTCCTCAGCTATCTCAGATCATATATGAAAGAAATAAGGGACTTCAAACCCCAGTTATTAATTTCAAAGGATTCATGGTAAAATAGTACATATTACATCTCTGTGGTTTTGCTTCATTTCAATGCATAGTACGAAATTTTTTAATGTGACTCTGTATAATTAGGTGGGAAATGCTGTTATTGATGATTACCACGATTATATCGGAACGTTTGAGTATTGGTGGACTCACGGTTTAATATCGGACTCAACTTACAAAGTCCTTCGAATAACGTGTAATTTGGGATCTGCCACTCATCCTTCGAGCGATTGTGTTAAGGCTCTCGAGTTAGCTAATCAAGAAATGGGGAACATTGACCCTTATAGCATTTATACCTTACCCTGCAATAGTAGTACTTCTTCTCTCAGGCGCCGATTAAGAGGTCACTATGTAAGTCTTTAATATAACTTTTTCTTCTAAAAAAAATATTACCAGACTATTTGGGTTATAGCACAAAAGCTAACATGAGAAAAAAAAAATCTGAATTTCAGGGCAAGAAATAAATAAATGTGCTAATTAGATTATTATCTATTGAATTGAAAAACCTGTCTCTTATTTTTCTTCGATGAAGTGAAAGATTAAATTTTTGATCTTCCATTCAAATTATCTTAATATATGATAAGGTTTGGGTATATATTCAGGTGCCCTTTTTTGTTACATGAAGTGAATTCACCTTTCCCTTCAGTTGCATGAATGCTTAAGTGGGTTATTATAAAATTTGGCGTGTGCCATTTTGTTACAAATATTACGCTTCGACTGAATCTTTACTTTCATTGTAATATAGCCTTGGATGTACAGAGCATATGATCCATGCACCGAAAGGTACTCAGAGATTTACTTTAATCTCGCTGAGGTTCAAAAGGCATTCCATGCGAATGTAACGGGTATTTCATACCCGTGGCAATCGTGCAGGTAATTTTAGCACTTTCGAAATTTTTCATTTTCCTCTTCTCCTTCATTGTGGGAAAAAAAAGGGTCGTTTTGAATCGAACTTTCATCAATTTGCAGCGATATAGTCGGTAATTATTGGGCAGATTCTCCTCTGTCCACTCTTCCAATTTATCAAGAACTAATAGCAGCTGGTGTAAGGATTTGGGTATTCAGGTATGAAAATTATGTTTCTTTTTGTTTTCTTGGTTGTATTTTTACTTCTTTTTGTTAGACCATGATGATCTAACGGCTACAAACTCCGACGGAATGGTTCCGTAACGGGAATGTAGCATCTCCCTATAACATATGCTTAGTTAGTTAGTTCAAACTTCTCAAAGATAGCATAGGACTTAATAATATGTTTTTGCTGTATGATCTGTTTTTTTTTTTTTTTGTTTAATTTTGAATTATTTTTTGTACTCTTTATAGTGGGGATACTGACTCAGTGGTTCCCTTGACTGCAACTCGCTACTCAATAGATGCTTTGAAGCTTCCAACTATTACAAAGTGGTACCCTTGGTATGATAATAGAAAGGTTGGTTTGTTTTTTTCAAGAATAATTAAATTAACAGGAAATGTTATGGTCCCGTTACGGTATCATTCCGTGGGGTGTTTTAATCATTGTATACACATGTAGTTAGACGGTCCAACGGTTAAAACACCCGACGAGATGGTACCGTAACGGGATCTTAGTTGTTAATTTCATTCTCTTCCTGGTTAAATTTATTGCAAAATTATAATTTGGAGAAATACTTGTATAATTAATATACACTAACAAACACAGGTTGGTGGATGGAGCCAAGTATATAAAGGTTTAACCCTTGTGACTGTGACTGGGGCGGGTCACGAGGTGCCCTTACACCGGCCACGGCAAGCTTTTATCCTTTTCCGATCATTCTTGGAGAATAAACCTATGCCCACCTGAATTTTTACACGTGCATTTATTTATTTATATAGTATTATATTGCAGTATATATATTTTTTTTATTCACCACATTGCAATAATTTTTTGTTCATGTACCAAGTTTGTTAAACAACTTATGTGTAAACTATATAGTAGTAATTATGAAAGTGAAATACCAACTTTGCTTTCATGATTTGAACTAGTACAACACCTGTGTATTATACGGGTGCTTGCTAATTTTTTTCTTAAAATCTAAAATTAATGAGAAAAAGTAGTTGAAATTTTAAATACCTTTTACATAAATATATATTTTATTATAAATTTAGTATGATACTTTTTATTAGTGCGGCTTACATGTGTCATATTATAATAATTTCTTAACTTACAACATATAACTACATTAAAAATAAATATATCAATTGATAAATAAATTTATTTTTCTAATGAATTTTAATAAATATTATTATTCTTTATTAATATAAAGATAAATATAAATTATTTCATATATACAATATGGATGTCAAATCGAAGATTATCAAAAGATGATTAATTTGATATATAATATATGTAAAACCGATAAGAAATACAAAAGTTATCAACTTTTAAAATATATTTACAATTCAATAGCTAATTGAAGGAAACAAATCAAAGTCAGAGATATATTAGTCACTTAGTGTCTCACTATTTAAAATTATAAATAATTATATGGTATTATTAATACAAGTGATAGTAAAATACCTAAGTTTGATAAATAATATTCATGGAATGTCCGAACCTAGATTATTAATTATTAATATATCAATATTATTTGTCCAAACATAATTACGAAGCATGATTCTTTGCCAAGTAGGATTACAAAGCACTAGAAACAGCCACGTAAGCTCAGCGCATTCGAGAATTATATATATGGAGGATTGATTTGAATGTAATAGGTGAAATTAAAATTAATATGCTTGTATAAGGCAAATTTATTTCCGCATAATATGAACATTAATTAAATTTTTGTAATATCTTTTTTGGTCAATAATGTTGGAAAAAATCAGTTATAAAACTAGGGTTTCACTCGGTTTTGATCGGATTTTTAATAGCTAAATATTTAACTCAGGTTGAATTAAATTGTGCAGAAAAATTCTACATTCTAAATATACACTCGTGATATATTTATTTTCTCAAAAATCTATTCGATAAGCGAGAATAACTAAATAAAATTAGCCGTAAATGGAGTGAGATCTTTTGGAGAATAAACCTATTCTTCAATAGTCGGGTTGATTCAAACGTCCAAGTTCAACCTATGCACCAAGTGTTGGTGTCGGATTCGGCCACACGCGCGCTCGTCGGCCGACTGTCTCAGCTCAGGCATGGGTGTCGGTCCTTGGACTGTGGGCTGGCCTTGGACGGTATTGGGCATGGTGCAGGGCTTGGGCCTAGGGTCCAACTACTATATATCTTTTTGCCGGTCCTTGGACTGTGGGCTGGCCTTGTCCTTGGACTGTGGGCTGGCCTTGGACGGTATTGGGCATGGTGCAGGGCTTGGGCCTAGGGTCCAACTACTATATATCTTTTTGCTGCAAATTTATTTATAATTGTGGCTCAAACTAAAATTTAATTCAGGTAGGATTTGGCTCGAGGTTTTTACCTAACTCGAGTGAGATCTTTTCAGGTACATTGAACTTGAACGTTTGAATCAAGCCGACAGTTTAAGGTAGAGTGTTAAGATCTTTTACTTTTTCTTTCAACTTTTCTCGAAGCTCCTTGATTTGAAGTTTATCCATGGTTCATTCTCCGTCGTCCTCTTTCGGAACCCGAATACATACATAATAATTCAATGTCAAAATTACCTTGTATAATCCTCTCTATATATAATTCCCGAATGCGCTGAGCCTACGTGGCTGCTTCTGGTGCTTCGGAATCCTATTTGGCGAAGAATCATGCTTCGTAATTAGGTTTGGATGAATAATATTGATATATTAATAATTAATCATCTAGGTTCGGGTATTCCATAAATATTATTTAGCTAACTTAGGTATTTTAATATCACTTTTACTAATATAACCCTTTTATTTTTTGTAATTTTACATAGTGAGACATTAAGTGACTAATATATCCCTGAATTTTGATTTGTTTCCTTTAATAAGCTATTGAATTATAAATATATTTTAAAAGTTGATAATTTTTGTATTTCTTATTGGTTTTACATATATAATATATCAAATTAATAATCTTTTGATGATCTTTGATTTGACATCCATATTGTATATATGAAATAAATACATTATATTTATCTTTATAATAATAAAAAATAATAATATTTATTAAAATTCATTAGAAAAATAAAATTATTTCTCAATTGATATATTTATATGTGATGTAGTAATATATTGTAAGTTAAAAAAAATTAGCATAATATAACACAAGTAAGTCGCACAAATAAAAAGTGTCATAATAAATATATAATAATATATATATTCTTATAAAATGTATTTAAATTTTCAAACTACTTTTTTCTTATTAATTTTAGATTTTAATAAAAAAAATTAGCAATACACGGTGCTTTGCTAGTATTATTACTCAATTTAAATAATATACACAACGATGATAAAAAAACTCCACATATAATTACACAAAGCACCCTTGGATCAGGTCTACTATCTACTGTCCACCGGATAAGCACATAAATGAGTGTATAGTATACCAATCAAGTTGCAGAACAAATGGAACTATAAAAGAATCAAATAGTTGATAAGATATACTACATTATTTTTATTTTCTTTTTGTGATGAGGAGAAAAGATAAACCTAACTTATGCATGAATATATGTGTGATAATGCTTTGTAAGGAAGCAAAATTGGGCTCCACGATTATATTTGAGTGATATGACAAAATGCTCCTTATTTATTTATTTATTTTTTCTTTTAGCCATATCCGGAGCTATGCTCCGACTAATTCGTTGGTCGACTCAGGTTGCACACCTGGTAGTGGTGGTGAATCTTCCAACGAAAATTTTTTGCATCCACAAAAACTCGAATCCGAGACCTTGCTTAAGCAGTATCAAACGGCTCACCAATTCAGCCAATCCCTAGTTGGTCGAAATGCTCCTTATTTGAATCCTTCTATTCTTGCCTTGGACCTCTAAAGTCTAAACTGCGAACTTCCTTTGGGTAATTTCAAGACAGCCCTCATCATCAAAAGATCAAAAAATTGTTCCTTAGTCCCTAAGAAGTGCAATTTGGTCAAATACCCCACTCCTCACTACACACACTCTTCATTAAAAAAAAAAAAAAAAATCTCCACATTAAATTTAAAACACCACCTTATTATTCCAAGACACTAAAAAGCAACTGCACTAACCACATCAACACAAAAAGCATCTCCCCTCTACCAATTTGAAGAATAAAAGCTGCTATCTATCATCAAAGATCTCAATCAACCAAACCAAACACAACACACCACAACACAACATTATCATGTACATGAGATTGAGCAACACGGTGATCGGGTTCTTGAACCTCTTCACACTGCTGGCATCGATCCCGATAATCGGCGCCGGGCTTTGGATGGCCCGCAGCAGCACCACGTGCGAGAGCTTCCTCCAGACTCCGCTGTTGGTGGTGGGCTTTGTGGTCTTAATAGTGTCCTTAGCGGGCTTCATAGGGGCCTGCTTCCACGTGGCGTGGGCCCTTTGGGTCTACCTCCTCGTCATGCTCTTCCTCATCGGGGCCTTAATGGGCCTCACCGTCTTCGGGTTTGTTGTTACCGGGCCTGGTGGAGGGGATGACGTGGCAGGCAAGATCTACAAGGAGTACCATCTGGAGGCTTATTCGGGTTGGCTAAGGAAGCGGGTCGAGGATCCGAGGTATTGGACGACTATCAGGGGGTGTATCGTCGGATCCAAGACCTGCGGGAAGGTTGCCACGTGGACGCCGTTTGACTATCTCACTAGGGATTTGACTCCTATTCAGGTAATTATTAGTACGTTATAATGTGATTTTTAATGTAATATATTTTTAATGTGAAGTGCAACGATTTATTTTGTTTTATTCTACTTTTTTTGGATCTGACTCGGACGTGGGGTTTTTTTTTTTAGTCGGGGTGCTGCAAACCGCCAACCTCGTGCAGCTACGGGTCGGGTTCTGCGGCGGCAGGCCAGGACCCAGACTGCTACCGTTGGAACAACGACCCGAGCGTGCTGTGCTACGAGTGCGATTCGTGCAAGGCCGGTGTGCT